AGCTTTTCTCACTTGACACTTCCTAGCTGTATGGCCTTGGGACAAGTTGAATAAATTCTCTGCGCCTCAGTTTCTTCATCTATAAAATGGGAATATTAATAATCCTTATGTCATAGAGCTGTTGTGAGAATCAACTGAAATGATACACAGAGAGCACTTAGAAATGTGCACATAGCAAGAGCTCAATAGAATTTCTTTTGTAGTTGTCATAATTAGTATTCTCTCTTAAACCTTAAAAATAAGAACATTAGCATTTACACTTTCTCCTATCTTCCCCATTGCCTGTATTGTTCTTTTTAAATCATTAGAGTTTATAAAATTTATTCTAACTAGATTTTCCATAGTTGTCTCATCTCAGGGGTCTATTTTAATGGATGAAACATTTCCTGACCATCTGCCCTTTCTATGATGGTTTCTTTCCTTCCTGGTTCTCTAGAGCTTTTCAGGAGGGTAGTTTATTCAATAATGGTTCACGAGCGCTCTGTCCCGAGTTCCTTGCAGCTTTAGAATGGTCACCTGCTGCCTTTGTACGTGAATGACAAGCTAGCAGTTTATAATCTTCTTTGGTCTACACTCTCTTTACCTAAATTCCTTGTAGATGCTACTTTGCCATCTGTCTCACAGTAAATGTCATAGAAAAGTTGGAGAGCACATGATTTCCTCTTGTTGATTGCTTGAGCTTTTTGTCTTTGTTTTTAATGTAACATAAATGTTGATAGTTTCCTTATCTTTTTTTGAAGCTCAGTAACTTCACTAGGATATGTCTGTGTTGATCATTCTGCTTCAATTTTTCCTAAAATGCAAGGTACCCTTTTAAACCAAGGATTGGGGTCTTCCTTTATTTTTATTAAAGCTTTCTTTTTTTATGTCTTTAGATTTGTTGTGGTGGTTCTACTTTCTTCTTCAAGGATCCCAATTATCTGCATGCCAGATATCCTTTGTTATACAGATCTCTCGGTTTTTCCCTGATAACTTCCAGTTCTTTGGGTTTTTTCCATTTTATCTTTTTAAATTTATTTATTTTTTACGTATTTTATTTTTGGCTGTGTTGGGTCTTCATCACTGCATGCGGGCTTTCTCTAGTTGTGGCGAGCGGGGGCTACTCTTCATTATGGTGTGCGGGCTTCTCATTGTGATGGCTTCTCTTGCCGCGGAGAACAGGCTCTAGACACGCGGGCTTCAGTCGTTGCGGCAGTAGTTGTGGCTCACGGGCTCTAGAGCGCAGGCTCAGTAGTTGTGGTACACGGGCTTAGTTGCTCCACAGCATGTGGGATCTTCCCGGACCAGGGCTCAAACCCATGTCCACTGCATTGGCAGGCAGATTCTTAACCACTGCACCACCAGGGAAGCCCTCTATTGATTTCTTAAAATCATCAATATGAGTATCTTTTCCCAAACGAGACAAGAACCTTTAGTATACCCTCATTCTCTTTAGTCTCTCTGCCTGCCTCTTAAACTCTCTGGATCTTGTTCAGAATGGCAGTATTTGGTTGGCATGTATTTTCTTTCCTCCTTTACTCTGGCCCAAGACTTTTAGACAATAAATATCAGTTCTCATATGTTTTACAGCTGCCTCTGAGGTTCAGTTCTCTTCTCTTCTGCTGTGGTCCTATGTGCCTGAGATTTCTCAGTGGGTTTTCATGTTTACAATCTGGCTAAAGTCCAGGGTTATTTTATTCTTGCCTTTTCTATTTTAAAAAATGTGCCCTCATTTTCTTCTTGCATGCAATGTTGCTATTGAGAAATCTAATTTAAGTCTGATTGACAGAGGATTTGTTTTTCTCTCTGGAGGCATTTGGAATTCTCTCTTTGCCTTTGGTATTCTTAAGTGTCATTATGTGTCCATATGGGGATTCACCTGGTCAAACCTCAACCATGTGTGTCACTCTGTGAAGCTTTTGCTCTGAGATCTTTCCTTTCTTTCATTCCAATAAGTGTACTTTTATTATTTCTTCAAATATATTTTTTCTACTTCAGTTTCACCTATTATCCATCTCTTATCTCTTCTATTTTCACCTTTCCTATCTCTTAGCTTTTTTTTTTTTCTTTTTCTTTTAATATTTTCTCCTTTTTTCCTGCTGCCATCTAGGATGGCTTTTCATATGGATCAGCTCTGTGTCATGCTTTTATTTCCTCTGGAGTAGTCTTCATTTCTACTTTTATATTCCTCATCCGTAACATTTCCACTTGGTTCTTTATTACAACTTCTTGTTACAGCTAAATATTATTAACATTTTCTCATTTAGAGTATATTTATTTTGTTACTTAAAAATTGGGGTCCACACGTTCCAACAACTTTGCTTCAAATGACATGTTTGAATGGTGGTCAAGGTGTTGTATCTTTTTGGTATCCTTTGGGGTCTGGTTGTTTCTACCTGGGTACTCATCTTCCCTTGGGGTCTGGGAATGCATATTGACAAGGGCTAAAGTCTAGGACCTAGCTGGTGCCTCTGCAGAGGATTTAATGAGGTGGCGGGGGAGGGAGCCCCAGGAAGGAGAATCACAATGGGTAACCCTCATTTGCTAATACTTGCCAGGCTTGTTGTTCAATGTTCACTTTATTTTTAATTTTTAATTAATTTTTATTTTATTTTTGGCTGCATTGGGTCTTAGTTGTGGCTCACAGGCTCTTTGTTGCAGTGCGTGGGCTCCTCTCAAGTTATGGCGTGTGGGTTTTTTTCTCTCTCTAGCTGTGGTGCACAGGCTCCAGAGCACGTGGGCTCTGTAGTTTGCACATGCGGGCTCTCTCATTGAGACGCACGAGCTCAGCAGTTGTGGCGTGCGGGCTCAGTTGCCCTACGGCATGTGGCATCTTAGTTCCCCGACCAGGGATTGAACTGACATCCCCTGCACTGGAAGGCGGATTCTTTACCACTGGACCACCAGGGAAGTCCCTTAATGTTCACTTTAAACACTCAGAAAAAACAGGCTTGGGATGAGAGAGTGGCCTTAGTTTTTAATCCACCAGCCATGGATCTTAGGGAGGGGAGGACAGGGAAGAGTAGATGCCCTGGGGCAGCTGGTCAACCACCACTCACCACCCAGGGACAGGGCCTTTGCTCTGTCCTGGTCGTGCCCTACACAGGCACCTGCGGCCTGGCTGCTGCCACTCAAATCATGGCAAAGGAGGGGGGCCATGGTAGCTGCAAGGCAAAATGCAAGAGAGGCAGGCACAGAATGTCAGCTTCTAAGAGGAAACAGTCACATTATATTGCTTAATCCAGGTAGTGGCACATAAGGATGTGCTGTATTGTTTTTCACTATACTGCAAACATATTTCATAAAAAATCTTTTATATATACTTGGTACTTAAAGAGAGAAGAAATACCATCAAAACTCTATGAACAGGTATAAGTAGGATTTATCTTTCAATCAAGCTAAGTAAGGCTTATGGAGTTTCTTTCTCATGGGATTGTTTATTTTCTTCCCTACAATGCACTATTAACGCTTGCTAGACAGCTCAGGATTTCAGATTTCCTGGTAGGTTTTTTTAGGACAGACATCATATCATCTTCCCTCAAGACCTACTATACAGACACTTGATCAGTATGCATTAATCTCTTACTAATGGGCAAGGCTGTTCATCTAATAACTAATATCTATTAAGAGCTTAGTATATATCAGGCATTATTCTATACACTAAGAATACAGCAGTGAACAAAGTCCCTACCTTCATGGAGCTTACATCTAGACAATAAACAAACAAGTAAACGTATCTGTCAATGGTGATAAATGACATACAGAGAAGTAAAGCAGAGACAGAGACAACAGAGGGCCAGGGACAGGTGAGATGATGCCACCTTAAACAGAGTGGTTAGGAGAGACCTCACTGACAAGGTGACACTGGTTAGGAGGAAATGATAGAGCAGGTCATGCAGATATCAGGGAGAGAGTGTTCTAAGAGAGGAAACAACCTGTGCAAAGGCCCTGGGGCAGAAGCATGGCCTGGTGTGATAGGAACAGCAGGACCTGGAAGACATGAGAGAAGTGAGTGGAGGGAGTAGGGTAGGGGATTTCCAGGGCCAGAGGCTGGGGTGCCAGATGGGGTGAGGACTTTAATGAGCTGTGAATGACATGCAGAGCCTTGGGAAGGTTTTGAGCAGGAGTGACAGGGTCTGACTTAGGTTTTAAAGAGACCACTGTAGCTGCTGTGGAACTGGCCCTGGGACAGCCACTCATCATTGCTCAGTCTTTTCTTTTTCTTTTTCCAAATAGCCCCGCTATTTGGATTAAATGACTCAGTTGTTGACAGTAAGCACTAGGGTCTGAGAACACAAAATAACCAACTCCCTATTTCACTGTTTTCATTCAACTGAGAGTTATTTACTCCTCCCTCCACAAATGTCTACACATACACATCTCTGCTCTATTATGCTGTAATTATTTATATGCACACCAATGCTCCCCATTAAGCCGTGAGCTCCTTTAGAGCAAAGAAATAATGGCACAAGTCTCCATGGTGCTCACAGACAGTTTTTATTAGCCAGAGTCCTGCCTTCTAGGAGATACACAGCCAACCAAGGCACCCAGCTACCATTTTGTTCTTGCTTGCATGGCTGATTCCATGGCTCACCTGGGACGGGGATTTCTGCAAAGGCGCTTCAAGGCCTGGTTTCCACAGGTACAGAGAGCTCCATGTGAGGAAAGGCCAGACAGGGCCCTGTCTCCTCCACACGGGATAGGACACACAAGCCAAATGGGCCAAGTGTCGTGGAGCAAAAAGAGAGCCCTGAGCTGCCCCCTGGAGGCCTGGGCCCTTGGGGTTCCTCCTACGAGCCAGGCCATTGGATGGCTGCCTGCCTGCCCTCCCACACTGGCCAATCCCTAGCCTGACTGAACCCTTTCTGCATTCAGGGTTACACACATAATGCAGCTGGATGCCTTCCGCTTACTGGGCTCTACGAGCCTTGGCTGCTGGAGTCCAAGGACCAAGCATCTGAATAGAAGGCAAGGTGAGAACATGTTACCCTGTGCTCTTCTCCATGCAGCTCCCGGGTGGCACCCACCAGCCCCAGGAGCCTGTGACCAAAGGGAGCTGCTCCGTCCTGGGGTGTGAGGGGCCTGGGAGCAGAGCGCCCCAACTAGGAGTGGACCATCCTGCTGACGGGTCGTTTTTCTGTGAAGAAGCTTTTCAGCAGCAGCACCTGGCTGAAGCTGACCACGAACAGCGCGATCGTCTCACCAACAGACCAGTAAGAGACTCGGCTATTCAGGTCTTCAGCCCGGGCCCTGTCCTGGGCCTCCCGGAGCCGGTAATGCGTCTGAGAATCAATCACCGTCTTCAGAGCCTCGTGGATGGTCACACAGGCGGACTCCATCTAGGCAGGAAGAGGAGCAGTCATTGTGAACCCTCAGAAAAGAAGAACAGGATCCAGCACACACACAGCAAATGTGATCTTCAACATCCTAGGTAATTTCTACTGGATGCTAACTATGTGTCTGTGCTAAGGATTTAACACGGTTGTATTCATAATAAGCCTAACTGAGGCTCAGAGAGGTAAGTAACTTGTTCAGAGTCACACAGTTAGTAGATGGCAGAGTCAGGATTTAAACTCAACTGTCTGAGTCCTGAGCCTATGCTTTCAAATACTGCCCTGTGTTCTTATTTAATACTCACCATATCCCTGACAGGCAGGGATCATTACTCCCAATGTTAAGGAGGACTGACTGATTGCTTACTGCATATACTGATGAGGAAATTGAGGCTCAAAGAGGCTACATGACTTGCCCAAGGTCACACAGATAATGAACGGCAGGGCGTGAAGCAAACCACAATTGTGTTGGACTCTGAATCTACTGTTCATTCTATTAAATCTGCTGCCTACACTTCTATGTATACACAGAAACACACGAAGACATACATTTCTCATGTACATAGACCCACACACACATACAAACGTGCACACACATAGACGTGTGCACATGAACGTGCACACACACGCATATACTCACACATGAACGTGCACACACACGTATACTCACACATGAACGTGCACACACACGCATATACTCACACATGAATGCACACACACGCATATACTCACACATGAATGTGCACACACACACACATATACTCACACATAACGTATATTACTTCACAACTTCCTTTACCTGCTAAAATATTACGTGTAGCATGCCGAATTCTAAATACATCCCGCCCCCACTACCAAGGTCCCCTGCTCCAATCCCAGGAAGCTGTGAATATGATGAGCTGCCACTCCTGTGATTATGTTATATGTCACAGTTGACCTTAAGAGAGGGAGACCATCCAGTGGGCCTGACCGAATCACAGGAGCCCTTCAGAGCAGGGAGCTTCCTCCAGCTGGTGGCTGAAGGGGAAGTCAGAGAGGCTGGATTCAAAAGAATTCAGTGCACTGTTGCTGGCTCTCAAGATAGAGGTCACATGCAAGGATCAGAAAGAGGCCTCTAGGAGTGGACAGCACAACAGCCAACAAGGAAACAGGAACCTCAGTCCTACAGCTGCTAGGAACTAAATTCTGCCAACCACCTGAATGAGTGTGAGAGCAGATTCCTCCCCGGAGCCTCCAGAGAAGAGGCCAACCCAACCTGATTTCAGCCTTGAGACCCTGAGCAGAGAACCCAGCCGAGCTGGCCCATGCTTAGAGACTACAGAACTGTGAGATAATGAATGGCTGTTGTTTTCAGCCATTAGTAGTAATTATTGACTCAGCAATAGAAAACTAAGATATTATGCCTGTGAAAGAACATGTGTTCTTACTCACAGGCAACCTCTAAAGCAATCATTTTATCCAAAACCCAGCAAATTCTATCCCAACAATAAGTTCTTGTGCTACGGAAGTTCAGAAGCATCCAACAGACGTTTGTTTCCCAAATTCCAAAGGTGAACTACTTATAAAGCTCAACGTAAGAAGCTAGAAGGGACCAAACCATTGTGTCACCACCTTGATGGAACCCCGTGAAACCCTCATTTCTCTCACAGATTGAACAGTTTCTGGACGCCAAAGGGGAGACCATGACTAAAAAAAGATGTTGCCCTTTACTTGCTTCATAGATATTCTTGACTCTGGGCCATTCTAGGAGCTAAACTAGACTACGTGAGGAGAGAAAAGCTCCCCTTTAGCCTCTGTGTTGACAAGGCAGCATCTTCTGTCTGACAACTGGTCTACCTCCTAGGGGTGTGGGTTTCCTCTGCACATGCTGGCTGGCCCCCTCATTCTGATCTATAGGGAAGAGGTGGTGAAATGTCACGTGGAGGGAAAACTGACAAGGTCACTGTGTACGAGATGGAACTAGTGGACCTCGACTAGGCATCAGGACAAGGGGCAGAATCCACTGGAAAGAACAAGAACAAGGTCGTTTGTGCTTCACGTTTTCCCCCAAGGGGAACCTTGATCCTGCTTTCTCAGGGACACCTGTGTGTCCTATTATTTGGGCTATATTACGGTCTTCTCTAGCGACTGGAGTTAGCATGGGGCTTCTTCCCCTTCCCCACATTTGGTAGGTAGGGTGTAGAGGGACACCTCGGAGATACTGCGGGTGTGGTTCCAGACCACCACAATAAAGCAGATGTCACAATAAAGTGAGTCACAGGGATTTTTTGGTTTCCCAGTGCATATAAAAGTTACGTTTACACTATACTGTAGTGCATTAAGACTGCAATAGCATTATGTCTAAAAAAAAAAAAGATCAATGTACATACCTTAATGAGAAAATACTTTATTGCTGAAAAAAATGCTAACCATCATCTGACAACACAGGGTTGCCCAAAACCTTCAACTGTAAAAAATACAGCACCTGTGAAGTGCAGTAGAACAAGGTATGTCTGTACCTACAGATGTGTGATGTTGAGAAATGGACAAATGATCCTGAGAAGGGTTCCTGACATCAAGAAGTTGATTCCAAAGGGGACTCCTAAGTGACAACTGACTTCAGATGCCAACCACCAGAGGAGACCTCTCAGGGTACAGACCTCTGCACTGGAGACGATGGTGGCATTTGTAGGCTTGCCCCTCCTCGCTCTCCTGGTAATGCTTCCAGAGTTGATGAAGGCATGCCAACTGTCACAGAGGAAGGAAGGGGACTAAACTGTGAAGGAACCAGGAAAGAGGTCACAGAGTGGAGTCGGGCTTAACCTACGCAAACCTGTGTCCAAGTGGAACCAAGGTATGGCATTTGTAGACGCTTCCCTACTGTGCCCTTCCAGTCACTCCCTATGACCATGACACAGGAAGATTTGGTAAGGCCAAATAGTTCTATATTTATAGCACCCTGGTGATCTTCGGAAGACCACGGTTATTGAAGGTAGGGCTGGGGAAGTCAGGAGAGACACCTCTCAAAATGACACTACAGGAATTCCAAATCATACTCGGTTTTCTTTGATAGCCCAAACTACACTAATTCATTCTTTCACATGTGCCTACTTAATTCATTAAGTGCCTACTCGCCTTCCAGACATTGTGCTGGGCCCTGGGAACTGAGAGATGAAATCAGAGTCAGACACAGTCCTGGGTCTCAAGAAGGTCATCATTTAGAGAATGTTATCAGCTTCCTGCAATGCCAAAAGAGCTAACAACAGAGGGGTGAGTGGAGCTATAGGAACATCTCAGAGAAAACTGCTAATCCTGCCAGAGATGGAGGCGTACCTGACACAGGGAAGAGATAAACTGCACCTTGACAGATGGGCAGCATGTCACCAGGCAGAGGATGAGGGGAAGGCATTCCACGCAGGAAAAGCATGGCAGGGCTTCCCTGGTGGCGCAACGGTTAAGTATCTGCCTGCCAATGCAGTGGACACGGGTTCGAGCCCTGGTCGGGGAAGATCCCACATGCCGCGGAGCAACTAGGCCCGCGCACCACAACTACTGAGCCTGCGCTCTACAGCCCGTGAGCCACAACTACTGAGCCTGCGTGCCACAACTCCTGAAGCCTGTGTGCCTAGAGCCCGTGCTCCACAACGAGAGAAGCCACCGCAATGAGAAGCCCGCGCACCACAAGGAAGAGTAGCCCCCGCTCGCCGCAACTAGAGAAAGCCCGCGCGCAGCAATGAAGACCCAACGCGGCCAAAAATAAATAAATAAAATAAATTTATTTTTTAAAAAAAGGAGGGCTTCCCTGGTGGCGCAGTGGTTGAGAGTCCGCCTGCCGATGCAGGGGACACGGGGTCGTGCCCCCGGTCCGGAAGATCCCACATGCCAGGGAGTGTTTGCGCCCGTGAGCCATGGCCGCTGAGCCTGTGCGTCCGGAGTCTGTGCTCCGCAACAGGAGAGGCCAC